GGCCATGATGTAAGAACTGGTTGTTCTTAAGTTGGAGCTAGGATCTAGTGTGAGCCCAGAACTCATTTCAGGATCTATGCTTTTTTTTTTTTTTTACTGTGACTTGGGAATTAATATATATGTCATATCATCCCATAGTTTTATCATGTCAAACATAATTATACAATGGCTTCCATAGTCAGTCTCCAAACATACTTTTCCTTCCTGGGCTTCTTGACATCATCTCCTTCTTATCTCCCCCACCCCATGAGCCAAGGATATCCAGGCTTGCCTCAGTCCCGGGCCCTGCAGATACTGTACTTCTGTCTCTTTGAAAATCTGTGGCCATCCTGCCACAAGCAAGTCCCTTAGCACCCTTATTTGTTTGTCTCCCCAACTGCATGCTCACTTCCTGTCTGTGCGTTAAAGTTCTCAGAGTATTCCACACCCTGTCATAATGCGGCTGCATATTTCATAGATGACAATCTAGTGCACACATAATTTTTTTATTAAAAGCTCTTTTTATTAGAGCTCTTATAGCAACCCCCACGTCAACTGTATCAAGCATATTTGTACATGTGTTGCCATAATTTTAAATGTTTACTTTCTATTTGAGCCTTTAGTATGAGCTCCTCTTTTCCCCTTCCCTCCCCGCTCCCACCTTCGTGACTCCTTATTAAATTATAAATTATCATTATTTATTTTCATATCTTACACCAACCACTGTCTCCCTTCCCCCATGGTGTCTGTTGTTTGACACACACCCCCCCCAAGTGGAACGTATGTGTTGATCATTGTGATCAGTTCCCCCTTCATCCCCTACTCTCTCCACCTTTCCCCTACTCTACTGGTACCACCACTCCCATTCCTGTTCCTGGATTCCATGTGTATCTTATCTGTACCTGTGCACATGCTCTGGTCTAGCCAGAACTGAAAGGCAGGACTGGGGTCATGATAGTGGGGGGTGAGGAATCCTTAAAGAACCAGAGGGATATTGTGTGTTTCATCGGTGCTATACTGCGCCCTGGTTGACTCATCCCTTCCCTGTGACCCTTCTGTGAGGGATGCCCATTGTGCTGACATAATTTTTGTCTACACTGGGAAAGCCAAACATTCATTTGGCTCACTCTACCGCAATGTTTGCTTTAGTGCCGGCAATGTCTCTGAGGGAGGCCTGCAAACTAACCAGTCAAGAGACATGTAGACCCCAGAGGTGCAAACAAATTCCGTTCAAAACGGTTTTGCAGATGAAAAGGAGACTTCCGACCTCTCACCCTTCTCCCTCCTCATCATCTTGACAGTATATGGAGAAACTTCCTGTGCAGTCTCCCCTGCAGGCGTCTTAGAACTGAGCAGGGCCCCCTGGATCCTTAAAGGCTTCCTCGGGAATGGGCTCCTGGTCTACCAGCCCTCTTCTCCCTTGAGTGTCTGCAGCAGAGGCCCAGGTGCTGAGCACCTGTGGACAACGCCTCTTTGTCGACTCAGTCAGGACACAGGAGCTTTCCCTCAGGCCGCACCTGGGTGCTTTCACTAGACGTGGCCTCCTCTCCCCAACCTCAGGACAGCGACTTCATTCCCACCTGGAGACCCTCTGAGAAGCTCACCTGCCAGCACCGTGAGCCATCGTACCCAGCCCTGCTACTGGGGGCCCTCTGTGCTACAGAGGCTTCTAGGAATCCCTGGGCCCCCCACCTGGGCCTCTGGGAGCCACTGCTCAGTGATGACTGGGCTCTGCTGTGGCTGTCCCCTAATCCTGGAGATGCACAGGGGCAGAGGGCACCGCAGCCCGGGCTTCTCCGGAATCATCATCGGGAAGCAATTCAAATCCAGTGTTCTCCTCTAAGTGGTAACGCCCTACCTACCTTCTCCCCATCCACCTTGGGATTGGCGCTTGGCACATGTCTTTGCACGTCTTCTCTCCAGGCGCCCTTTGTCCCCTCACCTTCTCGCCAGCCAGAGCGCTAAGTTTCCAAGTCTGCCTTCTCCTCTGGCGTAGGCCTTACGTAAGTCTGGCTTTTGAACGGGAAGCTTTCGTGTCTAGACCCGCCTGCCACCCTGTTGCCAGCAGCTGGTGAGATGCTCATGGGGTCCCGGAGTCTGCTTGGTTCTGGATCTGTTTTCTTCTCTGGGCTGAAACGCGTATGGGTCAGCCTAGGAAACCCAAGAGGCGAGGGGAGAAGACTGGTGGGCAAAACGGAAAGCATCGCTCGCTTGTTTCCAAAGTGCTGTTCCCGGGACCCGAGCAAAAGCCGGTGGGTGAGGAAGAGGGCTGGAGACAGTGCTCCATGGACAAGCGTTCTGGCAGGAGATAGCGTGAAGCACGTGATGCCCACATACACGGCTTGCTTACCGTCCGCCAGCATGCCCTAGAGAAATTCCATTCTGTGGTGGTGTTTGTGTTTTCAAGCCCCCTAAGTTTCTCAGTACGGTTCACTGACTTCCAAAACAAAGCTCACTGCCATCAAATTGATGCCAACTCATAGCAGCCCTAATTGGACAGGGCAGGACTGCCCCCGTGAGTCCCTGAGATTGTAGGAATCCCCATCTTTCTCCTGGGGAGCGGCGGGTGGTTTTGAGCTGCCGGCTTTGTAGATCACAGCCCACTGTGTAACCATTACACCACCTGGGCATATATAACAGCCTGATAGCCACCAGTGTTTGATGCATAAACATCATCGGTGGAAGAAAGATGTTGGACTTCCTTGCAACAAAACGAGAGGGTCCAGCTTCTTAACGCAAAATGTCGACTGGCCAACAGGATGACAATGCTGTATTTCCTTTTTTGCCGTGTGACATATGTCATTCACTGATTGATTCGCGAGTTTGGAAGATAGGATGCTGTCTTAGGCTGGTTTGACTAGAGAAACAAATCCAGTGACACTCATGTATGTGTAAGAGAGAGCTTTCTATCAAGGAGTAATTATGTATCAAGCAAGCATCCCAGCCCAGTCCAAATCAAGCCCATAAGCCCGAAACTAATCCAGAAGTCCTTCTTCAGACTCACGCAGCCACGTGCAATGATGCAGAATGCAGGAAGATCACAGGCCAGTGGGTGCAAAGTCTTGTGGATCCTATGGCGGTGGAAGCATCACAGGGCTCTGGCAGGTCTCAGAGTGGCTCACAGGCAGGAAGGTGAGGGCAGAGAGAGAGGGGGAGGCTCCCAGGACACTCCTTAGGAGAAGGCCACGCCCACAAGGAGTCAACATCAGGCTATGGCCCGATGGACAGGCTAGACTCCACCCCTACCCTGGTACGCATCAAGTTACATGAAGTTCTGTGACTGTCTCAGACACTGTCGTCTGAAGACGCTGAGGCTGAGATGGCACTTACACAATTAGCCCCGTTGCGAGAATCCCAAGGACTGCTCTTCTTCGGCATCCCTCCTCTGAGTCACCCTCTGATTGTTCTCTGTCCGTGTTCTTCTTGATGCCATTGTGTAAAGTTTTGAATTCTTGGCTCTTTTGTAATAAAAGCTCAAAAGAGACTCGAAATAGCAATGATGTGCTTCAGTCCTGAATCATCGTTCTAGGCAATGCCATCTTTCTTCTCTGTTCCTCAGTCTCTTGCCGTGTGATTGGGGATAGTTGACGTGTCTCGGTAAACTAATTCCCAGGCTGATGAAGTAGTGAAATGCTTCAAGAGACAGAAAAGGCTAAGATCGCAAAGACTCCATCGTGTATCTCTGACTTATAAAAAGAATCCAATGAGCCCGTGGGTATTGAGAGATAGAGTGACTTCCAGGCTGTGTTTTAAAATAAGCAAACATTCTCTGGGTTCTTTGGGAGACTCGGAAGAAAACGTTGAAACCATGAAATCTCAAGCCTCACCAAGAGGCCAACACAAAAAGAAAACAAAACACCTAGAATTGGTTTGAGTGGACCCGCATGCACGGAGGCGTTCCTTTTTAAAATGCAATACACTCTGTCCAGTTTAAGGCCGAGAATATAGGAAGGGGTCCTAATCGCTGTGTCTTCCTGGAGCTCCCTGGGCTGCTCAGAGAGGAAACCTTTGGGCACCATCTCTGAATGATAGTAGGACCAGTCTGTAATTCCTAAGTTGGGACTGTCGTTGTGAAAGGAATGCCATGCACCCACCCTGACACGAGGACCTCGCACCATCTCAAAAACTGTGCGCTCTGCCGGGAATATTGCTCCTGCCACACGCCCTTTGGGCTTGGTAATGATTACTCAGTGAATCTCAGTTCAAGTGTCATTTCCACAGGGGGGCCTCCCCAACCTGAGACTCTTTTGATCCAAGGGCCCTTTTCAGAGCTGACTGAGGCCCCTGGCTTTCCCTGCTCCCCACTTCCCACCATGAGAGTTCATAGAGCTCTGATTGAGTGAATGATGGGGGGTGGTGTCCACTACTAAATCCTAGGAGCCTCCTGGACAGGGACTGGCCAGGTTTGCTCAGCGTGGCATTGCCCACACCAGCACAGGGCTGCCCCTGGAGAGCACTTACTAAACATCTTGTAAATGGAAATCCTGATGGGATCCAAACCCTTTTCTGAGTACAGGTGCGCCCCTGTCTGCTTATCTAGCAGAGTGCTAAGATGCACACACGTGACAAAGGAGAAATGACAAGGAAGGAAAGCCTGGTGATGCCTCCTTGTAGGCATGGCCTCATGAGGATTCTGGGAACGTCCTCCGTCTGCCTGAGTCTTCCTGCTGACAAGCCACCCAAGAGTTCTCTCTCTCTCTGTTTCACCTTCCTGTTCAAGCGCTGCGTGGAGACCCACGCCAGCCTTGGATCCACAAGACTTTCCATCCACTGGCCTGTGCTCTTCCTGCATCCGGCAACATTGCGTGTGCTGTGTGAGTCTGAAGAGGAATGTATGCACTAGTGTCGGACCCATGGGCTAATAGCAGACGTACGGACTTGATCTGGACTGGGCTGGGACATTTTCTCAATATACAATTGCTCTTTGATAGCAAGCTCTTTCTTCTCCGCCCGGGTGTGTTCCTTGAGTCAGCCGGGTCGAACACAGGTCCTCCCGACTCATGCTTCTGACTTTCCCGTAGGTGTTGGGTGATTCATCGGAGACTGACATCAGCAATGAGGCGCAGCACGCCAGGAGCCGCACAAGCAGCTCGGAGGAGAAACTGAGACACAGGTGGTCTGAGTTTGCCATGAAAATGAGTGAGAAGGAGACTTCTTCCGGGGAGGACCAGGAGTCCGAGCCCAAGATAGAAGCTGAGAACCACAAGGAATGTATGACCTCTCAAGACAACACCCAGAGCCTCCAGGACGAGCTGAAGAAGGTAAGGGCTGTGGGGCCACCCTCGTCCCTCACTGTGCTGCCGCTGAGCTGGTGGGGAGAGGCTCTGGCTTTGTGCACAGATGTGCAGGACCCCAGGGTCTGTCGCTAACGTACTCGCCCATGAGAATCCTTCTGGATCAGTGCTGCGTGGTACAATGGGGAGAGCAGCACCGGTGGGTGGTCCTAGGGACATCATCCAGGGCCCCTCGTCATCTTCTAAGACCCTTCATCAAGACAGCCCTTCCTTGAGTCTATAACCAGGGCCCCTGTTTTCTCTGCCTGGTCAAAGCACTGCTGTCTCCCCATGCACGCTCTCCTTGGGGATTTCAGTCTCCCTCATCGCACCAATGACCACGCGCCATTCCATAGGATGGAGTCTTTGTGTTAAAAAGTGGCCTTCTGGGTCATTTATTTTCAGCATTTTCAAACTCTTTGGTTAGTCTTAGCCCCACAATCCTTCCCCGAATTAGACCCTGTGGAATCCCCAGGTGACCAAGAGATGAAAGTGTCGCCACGCTTCAAAAAGTCTTCAGAGCCCCCTCTCCGTCATCCCCTGCATTTGAAAAGACACCGTTTTGTTTGAAACCAGCATAAGCTAGACCTAGCCCCTCAGGTCTGGGCTGTAGGCATTCCACCCACCCACATCAGTGTCCTGCCCACTGGGTTTCCTCTCTTGGTAGCACCTTTGTGCCAGACATGGCTGCTTTAAAGGCGTGATACCCCTGTCTGCCTGCTCTGGAGGGGGGAGAAACGCGTGTTTGCTGAGGGCCACCTGTGTGCCCAATGCCTCGCATATGTTGGCTGATTCAGTGATGCTCCTTTGGAAGGGACCAGGTGGAGGTGTTACTGTACTGACCCAAAGCCCACGCTGAGGACATCTCGGGGCTCTGGTTGGAGCACCAGCTTGGCCGGCCACATGCTCCTTCCCGGCTACATGCTTCCCTGTCTCCCCCGCATCTCAGATGAGCTTCTGTCTGGTAACATCCGGAGCTCTTGGCACGTGTGATGCTCTCAGGGCTGACGATGCCGTTTCATCTTCGGAGGGTGGGTTCTGGGAGCGAAATATCTCCCAGGTGCACTGACTCAGAACCTGTGCTCTGTAAGCTAAGGCGTTGCAGGTGGCCCACACTCGTGGGCAAAGGAGCCCTTTGTCTGCAAAACAGCAAAGGTGGCACTGTGTGGGGAGTCGGGCCAACTGGGTAATGACCACCAGTGGTCAAGAGCAGCCCCCAGAGGGAAGTCCCATCCCGTCCAGCCCCATGGCTGGACCCTTGAGCTCTCCAGTGCACTGGAATCAGCCTTTCACCTAATCCTGGGTCCTCCCTGACCACTGAGTCCTCCCCATGAACCTGCTGGGCCCTCTGATAAGCCTGTGGATTGGAAAACTGAGCTTGTGCCCCCTCCCCCTTGGCCATGGCTTCACCAGCAGTAAAAGGCTTTGGTCCTCTGGGCTACCTGATTGGGTACCACATCATAGTCCATTGTCTACTGCAGCTGAGGGCCAGATGGCCGCTGAAGACTATCACACTGTGTCTCTACACTGGCCCAGTGTCTGGCTGCCGTGGCTGCCCAGTCGTCCAGGGTTTTAGACACTTGCCCGTGCCAGCGGCGGCAACCCCCGGCCATGATGGGTCAGCACCCAGAACCCCGCCTCCCAGAGATGCAGCACCAACCTCACCATGTGTTCCCCACACCCTGTGAGCAGAGAAAGGAAAGGGCAGACCCCGGGGCCTGAACAAGCGCCCAGGCTGCGCCCCGCCCTTACTGAGCATGAGATGACAAGAGTCGCTGTTTCTCGAACCCTCGGAGCTAGATCTAGCCTAAGCCCTGCCAACCATGAGTCTATGAGTGAAATGTTCAAGTAGACATCGCCCTTGACACGCAAAACTTCTTTTAGGAAACAAAAGAACAAAAGCAATATCTTATTAGCTCTGTGGGGCATGGAAAGGGGCCCTGGTCTTGCTGTGGGTTCAGCATTGGTCTGCTGGCTGCCGGTGGGCAGTTCAAACCCCCCAGCCCCCTGAGGAGAAAGGTGAAACTGTCTACTCTCTGTGGAACGTTACAGTCTCAGAACCCCTACATAGGGCCACCATGAATTAGAATTGACTCGATCGCAGCGGGTTTGATTTGCGGCATGCGACTGTGGACCACCCTGGTTATAGTCACAAAGAGATACGGGTTACTGTACTGAACACTTTTGAGGGATGGTGTCCAGAGAAGCATCAAGGCCAGACTGAGTCGGGAACCTGACCAGGCAAACCACAAATCTGTGAAGTTGGTTGGGTCTGACCCATTGCCACTACCTGGATCACGTCCGTGACCTGCCCACTGTGCACCCTACTAACTGATCTCCCGGCCCCCCCACCCCAGGCCCTTCTTGGCACCTCCAGTATTCCCCCTCCCCGCACCGCCCTCCGGCAGCCCCAGATGTGCTAGAGGTCCTGTACTTGTGTGTAGTTCTCTCATCGGTGCCCAGGGCCCAGCCAGGTCTTCATTGTGGTTGCGAATAAGCACGCCTTGGCCTGCGCTGTAAAATGGGGAGGATCACACCCCGTGATAGAGTTGTCGGGACTACACTGTGTGGCATGGAGTGTAGCACATTGCACGGGCGGTGCAATTGCATCCCACCCTCGGAGAGTCTCCAGAAAGACCAACTCCTCATGCTCCCCACTCGGCACTTGCAGCGTCAGCCTGGGGTCCCGAGCCCCACTTGGTGCTTCTCAGTGCCGAGTGGGGTAGTAGTGGGACAAAGGCCACATCAGAGCCCCCGGGCTCACATCTTCAGGATCACAGGAGCTGTGTGATGACGTACCTGTGATTCAACGTCATTTGTTTCCTCAGCACACACAGAACTGTGGAATAGTCCTTAGAGGCGGCAAGATAGCACCTACACGGAACCTGAAACACAACCATGCAGTTTGCAAACACACACACACCACACGTGAAGCGTGTGTCTCAGCTAATGTCACTATTCCATAAGTTGCCCTTGTTCTCCCTTCTGCCTTAGCAGTGCCAGCTGACCAGAAGTCCAATTGCCCGAAGGCTCCGAGGTTATCTTTCAGTGCCAGAGATAGGCTATCACAGCGGTTCTCAACGTGTGGGTCGTGACCCCTTTGGGGGTCAAATGACCCTTTCACAGGGGTCACCTAAGACCATCAGAAAGCACATTATCATTTACATGACGACTCATCACAGTAGCAAAATGACAGTGATGAAGTAGCAATGAAATAATTTGATAGTTGGGGGATCACCACAACATAAGGAACTGTATTAAAGGGTCGCGGCATTAGGAAGGTTGAGCACCACTGGGCTAGAAGGACCAGGGGATGACGCTTGTCGGGAATAGACCTCACTGAGTGATGGGAAGCGTCTATATATCTTCCGGATGCTTTGCCCTGGGGAGGGAGAAGGCTGAGCCTTAAGCTACACACCGACCTTCCCCTGACCCCCCTGGAGTTCCCCACTAGGATGTGGCACCCACAGTGATAACCTGGGTTGTTCGGTGAGCCAGTCTCCGTGGCTTCTGTCCCTCCTTGATCTCATTTCCCCACCCCTCTTCACTATTTGCCGGAATTGCCTTCTGTCTTCGTTGTCTGGTGCCGCTGTAACAGGGATGCCGCTCGTGGGTGGCTTTTAACAAACAGAAAGTTGCCCGCTCGTTGTTTGGGAAACCAGCAGGGCAAGCTCAGGGCGCAGGCTCTAGAGAAACTCTGTGAGCCCTGCGTGAAGGTGCTTGCCTTCTTTCAACTCCTGTGGGCTCAGAGTTGCTCGGACACTTCCCAGGCATCTGAAAGGGTCTCAGTGCAGAGACCCCACATCCCAAAAGTGCACCCTACTCCTGGACCTTCTGTCTTGGTAGGAGTTAGGGGCCTCCCCGCTGCTTGCTTCTCGTTCACTTGGTCTCTTCTAAGATTAAAGGTAAAGAGCCCCAGTAGTGAAGTGGTTACGTAATGGGCAGCTGTTCAAACCCACCAGCCGCTGGGTTGGAGAAAATGAGGCTTTCTACTCCGGTGAAGACTGACAGTCTCAGCAACCCAAAGGGGTTAGTTCCACCCTGTCTCACGGGTTTGCTGTGAGTCAAATCATCTCAAAGACAGGGCGTTTGGAGTTTTGAGGTGAAGATCAATGTTGATGGCCAGATGTTCTCGGGGAACCTCCCCTTACTCCAGACCAGGGCTGTGACCTGAGTCAGGGTGCTTCATCCCACCGTATGCCCCCTCACAACTGACTGACTGGTCACTTCAGGAGGACTGTGACATTACTCCAAACGGCCAAATCACATCATTATGTAACTGCCAAGCCACCGAGAATCATGGCTCAGCCGAGTGGACACACAGTCAATCCACGATCCCGCCCAAATGAATTCCCTACCCCCTTGAGATTTCCCTGCACTTCTGGGATAAATCAAACTAAGACGGTACCCCCCTCAAAAAAGGTGTAAATGTACGTGGAGTCCCCAATTCACAGACACTCCAGTGTGGTGCGTAAGCACTGAGGAAATCCAAGTGCCAGTGGTCTGCTCTTGCCCTTACGTGGCCGAGAGGACAGCTTGTTAATACTGAGCGTTTTATGAGGACGTTGTGTGGCCTGCCCACCTCCACCGATGCCCCTGCTCTCCGGCTGCACAAGCAGAGGAATGCTTGCACCCCCATCTATGCAATAACTGCAGAATGAACGTCTCCTCTGGGAACTGGAGTTTCCAAATCTGCCCAGAAATAGAGTTACCATTTGAGAAAAACCAGGTTCAGGGTGGGTTTTCTTTAGTGGGTATCAACTTTTTCTGTGGACCAACTCGTCCGTACATTTGGCATCAATGCCTCCCTCTGGCTGGGTACTGCAGGCTCAATGCTGATTCGGGGCGCATAGCCGCTGCCGTCGGAATTTCATCTGCTGACATACAAGCTGGGAGACTTTGGGGTCAGCCCCCAAACCTCTTGGGAACTGGGTTTCCAAAGGCCCTGTTCCTTCTGTAAGTAACAGTTTGGTTCCCAGGACACCTCA